CAGCCAAGCGCTTAACCACTGTGCCACCAGGGGTCCTTCAAGTGAGCAGTACTCACCAAATTTATATTAATCTAACCAAAATTATAACTGTATTGGGAAGATGAGGGAAACAGGAAGTGCACATGTGCATGGTAGGTATGGAAACATGGAGGAATGTAAAGGTAAGCTGTATCCTTATTTTCTAGACTATAAATCAACAGTTAATGTTTAAATGAAAAAAAAATCAAGAACCTTGAAAACATTATGCTGAGCAAAATAGGTCAGTCACAAAAGGGCAAATATTGTATGATTTTACTTATATGAAATAAGCAAATATCTAGAAACCAAAGATCTATTAGTGGAGAGAGGGGGAAGGGAGAGGTTTTGCTTAGAGGGCATTGTGATTATGTTAATGATGGTTGAATGATTTGGAAAAGAGTAGCGAGAATGGTTGCACAACTTGAAGGATATACTCAATGTCGCTGAATTGTACTTGTAAAAATTGTTGTGATGGCATGTATTTTGTTATGTATATTTTATCCACAATAAAATAAAAAATAAAAAGAGAGGGAAGAGAAGTTTAAAAAAAATCAAGAAGTAGCCTTCCCCCACTACCTTTTGGTTTTAATTTGAGAGAGTTAAGAAAGTTATTCTTAGACTAGAGATTTATTTTGTTAAGTTTTTAACTATTTTATTTATTCACTAATTTAAAGAAATTTTAAAGGTACTTTAGTTTTTCTTTTCACCATCTAGAAATGTTTCTTTTAAAGTACCATTATTTCTTCTTTCCACGACCTGTTCTTTTTTTAAGGCAAACCTGTTTGTTAAGATATATGCGGTTATGCTGTCTGGCATCATTTGCACTTCAGAGTAAATCAGTACTGTCAAATAATCTCCTTAAAGATTAGCTGAAGTGCAGAAGGTGTTAGTTTCAGAGTTTTAAAATCCCTAGCACTGTTATATATATTTGAGGTTGCAGTAAATACAGGAATAATGTAAGGTGCATGAGACAAATACTTCTTAAAATATCTTTTAGTGAGTCAGTTCTCAACTGTGTGTTTTGTTAGCTGGTTATTTTGTACACATCTGATGTTAAACAGAAATTCAAATAAGTAGAGTAGCATTGCTCCTAGAACGGTAAAAGTAGGTATGTAAGAAACATTTAGGTATGGTATAGCTAAGAGTAGTTTAAGGGTAAAACAGAGCACAACTCCTCCCCCTAATGGAGTCAGTAGTAGTGCCTACATCCTGAAGGTATTGTAAGGATTAAGTGGGGAAATGCATGTGCTTGGCATGGTCCCTGGCATATGGTAAATGTTCAACAGATGTTAGCTATTATTACAAAATAGAGTTAGTTAAGTATAAAAGATCCGGAGCTTGAACCCAGGTCGTGGTTTAGGTTTAAAGTCTCATTACACAAGCATTTTTCATTATGCCTCTCTGGAAGAACATAGATCGGAAGAAGACAAAGTCCAGGCAGGATCATCCATCTCAGTCCTGTGCTTTTTCATCTAGACTAGACTAGTGGTGGTGAATATTTTTCAGTTGCAGACTCCATTATGGATCTAAAGTCTGTGAGCCTTATTCCTAAGAAAAATACACGTATACAAACGTTTATGCATAATCTGGGGGGTTATAGCCCTACCGTTTAAAGCCTATTTATGAAACTCCCATTCTGGAGAAAGAATTGATTTCAGCACAAAATAATTAGAGGAAAATGGGGCTAGTTTAGACAGTCTTGGATTCTCAGGTAACTAAGAAAAAAAGTAGCTGTACTTCTTAGGTTTCTTTTTATCCTAATACCTTTACATTATCAAGAATTTCATGTGTTACTTGGTTTCTGGTATTACGAATGAAGTTACTGTGTCTCAAATTTTGTTATCAGCAGCTAAATATTACTTGTGAGCAGAATATTACTTCTGTGAGCAAAACAGTTTACTATTGGTACTGTTGTACTAGTGGAGCCCTGGTGGAACAGTGGTTAAGAGCTTGGCTGCTAACCAAAAGGTTGGCAGTTCGAGTCCACCGGCTGCTCCTTGGAAACCCTATGGGGTAGTTCTACTCTGTCCTGTAGGGTCACCGTGACTCGAAATCATGTTGACGGCAGCAAGTTTTTATTGTGCTAGTATAATAGAGGTACTAACAAATAATGTTTATTGATTGCTTATTGTGTGCCTGCATATTTCCCTGCTAAACACTTCATATGTATTATTTCATCCTTATAAAATAAGTGGCTACACTGTTATCCCTGTTTTGCAAATGGAAAATTTTAGACAGAGAGGCTTAGTATTTTGCCCAGAGTTATACAGCTTAAAGTGTAAGAGGCTAGATTCAAATCCAGGCCTGTCTCTAAAGCTGCATGCTTTTAACCATTCTGGTGAGTTGCCAAAGATAAAGAAGCTGACTATTTTAGTTATCGTGGTTAAATGTAAATTTTCTGTTAGCTCTTTTGAAATAATGAAACATCCTCCCTGTTGCCCCAAACTGTAGTTGTGATTAATATTTCTAGTATTAATTTGGAATGTGAAATAAACTTTACAAGCTCCTAGAAATCTATTTGCTCAGATTTATTATAATTCAGGGAATTACTTTTAAGGGTTTGCTTTAACTTGACAGTATATCATTAGGGGGACATTAAACCAAAAACCACTGGCTTCTCTGAGATTCAGTTCTCTAATAGACTTTGATCTGGAAGAGCCAGGATGGCAAGTAGTAGGAGGTTTTTTCTCTCTCTGTCTCTCCATCCATCCATCCATCTATTTACCTATCCACCCAGATGAGGAAATAATTACTTCGGTGGATTCATGATACCATGAATACTTCGTTGTAAACTGAGACAGATAACATCTTAGAACCACTAGGCTTAAATCAGTGTTTATCTAATTACATTTCTGTTCTTTCTTTTTTGACTTAAGATGGCTATGTACAAACTTGCTTATTAAAACAGTCAGCTTCCTAATCTCATCTTGCATACAAGACCCCCATCACCTTTGATTCTAGGTGCTAGAAGTCCTTCTACTCCCCCAATCATGTTTTTTCTCCTGGACTTTTTCTGTCTCTGGCTCTGATAACAGCCCTCCTCCTGGGGGTCTTCTGGCTTTTTCAGAACTCCTCAGCTTTACCTGGTACTTTCCTCAAATGAACTTAATACTCATGTGATGACTGTATTGCTCAAATTTGTTTATACTTTAGATTATTTTTTACTATTTGGTGTCTGGGAAATTATTTCTAGTTAATATGCTTTTTAGCACTGTGACCAGCTCAAGTTTTTGCATTTAAGTCCTCAATAAATTTAGGCTTTTGGAAAGGAGTGCTACCTCATACTTTAAAATTGTTTTTAGCAGGACAATGAGGTTCACTTTTTTATATCATTTTGATACACCAAACCAAACCCACTGCCATCAAGTCAATTGTAACTCATAACAACCCTGAAAGACAGGGTAGAACGCCTCTATAGGGTTTCCAAAGCTATAATTTCTACGTAAGCAGACTGCCACATCTTTCTCCCAGAGTGGCTTTTGGTTAGCAGCTGACTTTTTTAAAAAAAAAATTTATTGTTGTGCTTTAAGTGAAAGTTTACAGTTCAAGTTAGTCTCTCATATAAAAATTTGCACATACATTGTTATGTGACCCTGGTTGCTCTCCCTATACTGTGACAGCACACTCTTCCTTTCCACACCAGATTTCCCGTGTGCATTCAACCAGCTCCTGACCCTCTCTGCCTTCTCATCTTGCCTCTGGACAGGAGCTGCCCATTTAGTCTCATGTATCTACTTGAGCTAAGAAGCACACTCTTGATGAATATCGTTTTATGTTATGTCTCATAGTCCAGTCTAATCTTTCTCTGAAGAGTTGGCCTTGGGAATGGTTTTAGTTTTGGGCTAACAGAGAGTCCGGGGCCCATGTCTGCTGGGGTCCCTCCAGTCTCAATCAAACCATTAAGTCTGGTCTTTTTACTGGAACTTGAGTTCTGCACCCCACTTTTCTCCTGCTCCATCAGGGACTCTCTGTTGTGTTCCCTGTCAGGGCGGTCATTGGTGGTAGCCAGGCACCATCTAGTTTTTCTGGTCTCAGGCTGATGAAGTCTCTGGTTTATGTGGCCCTTTCTGTTTCTTCGAACAGCTGACTTCTGTAACCTCTGTACCACCAGGACTCCTTTCATTTTGATATAAAGAACTATAATTCCAGTGACTGCTTGTATAGTTAAAAAACAAAGCAAACTTTTAAAAATTTGAATGTGACTGATTTTGCATTTGGACAGATGAGATAGAGGAAGATTTATGCTCTCCTGGAGATAAGAGTTAAGTTCTGGAATATGGAGTTTATATCTTAGAGAACTTTGAAGTGCTTAAAAATAATCATTCGTAATTAACATGGTAAATGTACAGTGGAATGAATTTTACTTTCTCCTTGTCCATAAACAGAAAAGTTGGTTAAACAAATAAGGTAAACAGGTTTTAGTGGAGCTTCCAGATTAAGATGGACTTGGAATCTATAGTGACAGAAAGCACTGGACGGGCAGGATGGAGGTGGAGGGAGGGGAGCACAAGGGGTAGGAAGAACGGGATTACCCATGGGTACAAGGAAACTTTTGGGAATATTCACCATTTGGGGGGACGATAGATATGTTCATTTTCTTTATTGGGCAAAGAGTATACATATGTCAAAACTTCACAAGTTATATACTTTAAATATTTCTAGTTTATTATATGTTAATTAAACCTTAGTAAAGCTGTTTAATTTAAAAAAAAAAGGAAAGCAAAAACTTTTTTTTTTTTTTCTTTGCCAAGATGGATTGTGGTCCAGCTGGAAACTGAAAGGACAGGGTTAGAATAATGACGACATCCTCTTCTAGTATTTAAAGGGTTCACATATGTTACTATATTGTTATTATTTTAATTTCAAGCCTCAAGTAGTTGCCATTTTTTAAAAAGTGTTGAATATCAGTTGCATTGAATGTAAAGGTATTAAGAAAATGACATTTTTCCCTTTTTCTCTCCTCCTTCCCTTTTTTAAAAAAGGAGTGACAGTTCATTCAGATTCTTTGTATTCTTCTTCATCTATATTTGTCAGTTTGCTGTACATGTACTCCAGGCTGCAGGATTTCATAATTGGGGCAATTGGTAAGTTATTTATTGTAATTACTCCAGTTTTAAGCTGTTAATCTAATATCTTTACATAATTTATGGCTTTTAAAAAATAGTTAAACAGAAAAGCAAAAATGATGAAAGATGCAATTTAAAAATTTTCTAAGACATAACATTTGGATAAACCAACTTATTTGTAGATTATGTTCTCATTTTTTAAAACAGTAGATTATATGTAATTTAAATAAAAGGTACATGTAACTGGCACCAGGAGGAAGAAGGCAAAGGAAACTAAAGAGTGGTCAGAGAGAGAGCAGGGCTAATGATTGTGGAATAGAGTGAAAAGAACTTCAGAGATTTTAAGGAAAGGTGTACCTATTATGTGTAAAGTACTATGTTAGGTGCGTAGGGGTGTGTGCGTATGCACACACACATTTTCATATATGCAGACATATACATGCAGGCATGTCTTTCAAAGGTGGAATCACTGCATACACATATACAATCACGCACTGCATAATGTCCGTTCAGTAACATCTGACTGCATATACATCACCTCCCAAGTTTCCCTTGCGGATGCACAGCCCTGGTGGTTCCACTCCTCCAGGAGCGGAGGGACCCGAAGAGGTTGGAAGAGCTGCCACTGGATGGGGTTTCTGAGGCAAGGGAGAGGACGGGCACCCAAGCTGCTCTGGGGTGCTCTGTAAACAATGAAGGACCGGCGGTGGAGACACCGAGAGTACTGCAAGTTTGCGCTTCTGGTGCTACTGCTTGTCCATTATGTGCTGGACAGCAGCCACGATGGGGACTAGGGCACCAGGCTCTGCTTGGGCCTGCAGGGCATCCTGGGAGTGTGGAGCCTAGAGGAGGAGCGGCCCGCCGCTGAAGGTGGCGCTGGTGAGTCACCTCGTCCTCCCATTGCTGGGCAACCTCAGCGGCGCCATCAGGGAGGTAGTGTATATAATATGATGTTTGCACAACATCCAAATCACATAACAGCCTATTTCACAGAATGTATTGTGGGCGTTAAGTGACACGTGACTGTATACATGCATCTTTAAACGGTAGAATCATTCTCAACTGTGACAGGATGCTTATTTAGTGAGGCAGCTCAGAAACTGAGACTTAATGGACCCAGACTAGGAAGTAATAGCAGATTTATATGTCTCTTTTCACACCCACTCTGGAGCATACATTCTTTGAGTGAAATGATTGGCAGGATTGTATACATTTGTAAAATTATCCCTCCCTCTCTTCTTTCTTTTTCGACTGAGTTGTATACAGTTGAATTCTTGTAAGCTAAAAGTATATATGATACAACTTTGCTGTACTGTGTTCATAAACTAAAATCAACATGTAATGAGTATTGCTGAAGACTTAAATTTAGTATGCTACTACTCAGAGTAGTGATGGGCTGTCAGACGACTATTGATAGCTTTGCAGAGCTCCTTGTGGACATACATATTGCGGAGAATTTGTACAGGTCTTTTAAATCAGTTCTTGGGAAAAGTTTTAATTATTACCTTAAATAGTATTTAATTTTTGGCATTTGAGGAAAAGGAAATGATTTAAATGTTTAAAAAATACACAAGATTTTTATTTTTATGAGATTAAAGTACTTTTACTTTCTAGCGCAAATTTAGAAAAAAAAAGTTGAAGTTGAACATACAGCATGTATAGTGACAAAATAGCACAGAAGAAGAGTTTGCTAGTAAGGCTGCATACAGGATGGCTATTTTAAGATAAATCTCATGCAATTCAGATTTTTAAAAATTACACTTTTAATTTTGAGATAATTGTGAATTCATATGCAGTTGTAAGAAACAATACAGGGCGATCCCATGTACCTTTCACTCAGTTTCCCACAAGGGTAACATCTTGTAAAATTACAGTATAATATCAGAATGAAGATCTTGACATTGCTACAGTCACAATGCAGAACATTCCCACCACCACAAGGTTCCCTCATCTTGTTCTTTTATAGCTATACCCACTTCCCTCCTGCTCCCACTTCCTCCCTAAACCTTGGCAAGTACTAATTTGTTCTTCATTTCTATTATTTTATGTTTTCAAGAATGTTATTTGAATGGAATCATGAAGTATATAACCTTTGGGGATTGGCTTTTTTCACTCAGCATAATTCCCTGAACATTCGTCTAGGTTGTGGTGTATATCATTCCTTCTTACTACTTTTTATTCCTCTTTATTGCTAAGTAGTATTCCATGATGTGGATGTACCACAGTTTGTTTAACCACTCACCTGTTGAAGGAGGCCTGGGCTGGGTTGTTTCTAGTCTTGGGATATCATGAATAAAGCTGCTGTGAACATTCATGAATAGGTTTTTGTGTCACCATAAGTTTTCATTCTCTGGGATAAATGTCCAAGAGTGTAATTGTTGGGTCGTATGGAAGTTGTATGTGTAGTTTTCTTACAAAAAAACTGACGAACTGTTTCCCAGAATGGCTGTACTGTTTTCCATTCCCACCAACAATGTTTGAAGTGATTCAGTTTTTCTACTTCCTTACCAGCATTTGGTGTTGTCAATATTTTTTATTTTAGCTATTCTGATACATGTGTAGTGATACACCTAATTGTGGTTTTAATTTTCCTTTCCCTAATGACTAATGATGTTGAACAACTTTTCATGTGCTTATTTGCCATCTTTATATCCTCTTGGTGAAATGTCTCTTCATGTCTTTTGCCCATTTTTTAATTTTTTTTTTTTTTTTTTTTACTGTTGAGTTTTGTGAGTTCTTTATTTATCTGTTCTAGATGCTAGTTCTTTGCTGGATATGTGGTTTGCAAATATTTTGTTTCATTATTCAGCAGAATTTTAAATGATCATTTAGAAGAAGGAATAATGAGCTCTTAGGCTTTAAAATGCAATATAATTTGGTAGTAAACACTTCGGGCTCTGGATTTTGATGGTTTGGATTTGAATTCAGTCTATGTGATTTATTAGCCGTGTGACCTTGGGCAAGTTACTGAATCTCTGTGACTCAGGCCTCATTTGCAAAATAGGGATTAAAAAACAACATCTGTCTTAATGAGGTTTTTATGAGAATAAAATGAGTTAATATATGTGTGTGTATGTACACACACACAGATAACTGACTTCATACACACACAACTCTGTCTTTCTGTCTCTATATATATAACGTAAAGAACTTGAATAGTACCTGCCTCATAATAAGTCTGAATATGCGTTAGGTATCATTATTTTTTAAAATGTGCATTAATTTGTTTAATTTTACTTTTAATTAATTCATAGTGGGTGGATTTCATCCCTCACTGGTCTCAACAAAAGCATTCCTGTTGGCGTCCTGATGATCATCATAGCAGCGCTTTTCACGGCTTCGGCGGTCGTCTCACTGGTCATGTTTAAAAAGGTAAGTGAAGTTCTGTGTCTGTGAACGTTTGTGAGGAACCCTGATGGTCAGGTCACATTCTTCCCATTTTGCCTGTAATTCAGTGTAACTTAAAGCCATTTTGTTGTTCTTTTTATGTAAGTTTGCTCTCTCAGGATTACTTTCTACAACTAAAAGTTATACATAAATACATTTTAGAAATTGCTTCACCTTTTTAGCTTCTGGTAAATAGGGAATATTTTAAAATCCTGTTATGAACCAAAGGTTTCTTTATGAATTGAAGTATCAACTTCATTTTTTAAATTTGGATGAAGTATGTTAGCCTGATTAATAAATGTAAGTAAAGCTGTTGTGTAGTGCGAGCATTTTATTTGTATTTACAATTTAAAGACACTAAATTATTTATTGCTGAGTAGAAAATGATCTGGTGATGGGTTCAGGCTGGATCATGACATGAATTTGGTTTTTAGTAACTGCTCCATTATCTTCGCTATACTTCTTCCTGTAGAATTGCCATGGTCATTTTCCCATCCTTAAAAAAAAAAAAATCATTACGTAGGGTGGGAGATAAATCACTGTTTTTATTTGTTCATTTAAAAGTTTTGTTGTGTCTTGGCTGTATACTATTGATATTCTACTTATGTTCAAACATGATATAGAAACTCTGGGAATAACACCTATATTTCAAAATGATAAAGACTTTGGTGGGTCTCTCTCTCTTTTTTATTTTTATTTTTTAAATTGTCTTAAATACATACGTAACAAAGCATTTGCCATTTCACTGTTCTTTACATGTACACTTCGGTGACATTCATTATGTTTGTCATATTGTTCAACCATAACCATTCTGTTTCTGTATTTTTTCATCACCCTTAATAGAAGCTTGGTGTTCCCTAAACAATGAGATCCCTTTTCTTTCCCTCCCTCCTGCCCCTGGTAACCGCTAATAAAATTTGGTCTCTACACACTTATCTATTCTAGATATTTCATGTAAGTGGGGTCATATTAATATTTGTCCTTCTGTGACTGACTTATTTTACTCAGCATTGTCTTTTCAAGGTTTATCCATGTTGTAACATGTATCATGATTTCATTTCTCTTTATGGCTGAGTAATATTTTATTGTATGTATGTACCACATTTTGCTTATTCATTCATCTGTTGATGGACATTTAGATTGTTTCCACTGTTTAGGTATTGTCAGTAGTGCTGCAGTGAACATTGGTGTACAAATATCTGTGTTCCTGCTTTCAGTTTATTTGGGTATATACCTGGGAGTGGAATTGCTGGATCATGTGGTAATCCTGTGTTCAACTTTTTGAGGAGCTATCAAACTGAGCACGTGCCAGACACTAGTCTGTGAATGGGCTCAAGGAGTTCAATTTAATGTGAGAGAGAAACAAATGAATGGGCACCACAGTCCAGTGACTTAATGTCCGTTATGGGGACAAGTGTAGGGAGCACACAGGAAGGATACCTAACTTAGTTTTGAAGGTCTTTTTTTTTTCCCCCATTTTAATTGTGTTTTATTCATATATAAGTTATTCCTTACAGTAAAATTGTAGATGCTTGTGAATCAAGGGAATTTTGCAGATAAGGAGAAAAGAATAGAAACTTCATTCATAGGTATATTGGTTTTCATTATTTTTCAGTATTATCCAGTATTATTGATACTGTTTAGTGGAGAATGCAGAATTAATTAACATCTGTAGAAAATACATGGTTAAAAGCAACTAATCACTTTTTCATAACTTTTCATTTCATAGAAAAAAAACTTATCTTTGTTAGGAAAACTAAACTTTATGCCATATGAAGAAACTGAGCATGAACTTTGTGACCAGCTGAAAAAACGTTCTACTAGAATGGCGTTCTTCAGTCTTACAGTCTAACATGAATAGAGGTGCCTCAGTGAGGACCTGTATGAGTCTTCTGTCTCTGTCCAGAACTGACTCCAAATTAAGCATATCTAGTTCATCAAATGGATCCATCTCCCCTGGTATTTTCTAGAAAAGCATGTAACTAAGTTTTAATTTTCATCCTGCATTTATACCGTTGAAATTCTACCCAGAAAAAAAAAAAAATTAACAGGTACTCAGGACTATTAATTTTTTTGAATATTAAATAGAAAAATCACTTGTTAAAATACATTTTCATTAAATCTGAGGACAATATTAAAGACTCCTTCATATGAGAAGTCTCGTTTTTATACTTATAAATATGATAAACAAATCCATTGCTGTAGAGTCAATTCCGACTCACAGGGACACTATAGGACAGTAGAACTGCCCCATAGGGTTTCCAGTGCTGTAAATCTTTATAGAAGCAGACTGCCATGTCGTTCTCCCCCAGAGAGGCTGGTGGGTTCGAACTGCCACCTTTTATTTTTTTAATTTTTTTTTAATTGTTGTGGTTTAAATGAAGTTTACACTTCAAGTTAGTCTCCCATACAAAAATTTATACATACATTGTTATGTGACCCTAATTGCTCTCCCCATACTACGACAGCACACTCTTCCTTTCCACCCCTGATTCCCCATGTCCATTCAACCAGCTCCTAACCCTCTCTGCCTTCCCATCTCACCTCCAGACAGAAGCTGCCCATTTAGTCTCTTGTATCTACTTGAGTTAAGAGACACACTCCTCCCGAGTATCACTTTATGTCCCACAGTCCAGTCCAATCCCTGTCTGAAGAGTTGGCCTCGGAAATTATTTTAGTTCTGGGCTGATAGAGAATCCATGGGCCATGCTTTCTGGGGTTCCTCCAGTCTCAGACCATTAAGTCCGGTCTTCTTACTCGAATTTGAGTTCTGCACCCCACCTTTCTCCTGCTCCATCAGGGACTCTCTCCTGTGTTCCCTGTCAGGGTGGTCATTGGTGGTAGCCAGGCACCATCTAGTTCTTCTGGCCTCAGGCTGATGAAGTCTCTGGTTTATGTGGCCCTTTCTGTCTCTTAGGCTAATACTTTCCTGTGTCTTTGGTGTTCTTCATTGTCCTTTACTCCAGGTGGTTGGGACCAATTGATGCATCTTAGATGACCACTTGCTAGCTTTTAAGACCACCAGATGCCACTCACCGAAGTAGGATGCAGAACATTTTCTGAATAAGCTTTGTTATGCCAGTGGACCTAGATGTCCCCTGAAAGCATGGTCCCCAGACCCCTTACCCCTGCTACTCTGTCTCTCAAGGTGTTTGATTGTATTTAGGAAACTTCTTAGCTTTGGTTTAGTCCAGTTGTGTTGACTTCCCCTGTAGTGTGTGCTGTCTGAAGGTCTTTTTTTAAGTAATAAAACTTAATTACTTAAATACTGCCTCAACTGGGATATAATGATGAGTAGCAGTTAACTAAGTAAAAGGTAAGGGTTAGGGGAGAGGATAAATAGATACCAGGTAGCAGGAATGCACGTTTATTTCTAGATGCAGGAGATAGCATGGCAAATTCAGGGAATTATAAGAAGTTCAGAATGGATGGGGAATGAACTTGGTGCATGAATTGGGGCAGGGAGGAATGTGTGGTGTTGGTGGTAGAAGGTTGTGGAAGATAAGGCTAGACAGGTAAGTGGTAGCTATATCCTGCAGGATCTTGTAAACTAGGAAGTCTTCTCCAAAGAGTGGTGGTGAGCTGTTGAAGAGTTTTAAGAAGGAGAGTAAATGACTTGATAAGATTTGAGTTTTAGAAAGATTATTCTGGAGTATTTGAGATCTGTGGGACAGAGGTGTAATACTTGGAGAAACTAAGTCTAGGAGACTAACTAGGAAGCTGGCTAGTGATGAAGGTAGCCAGAACTAAGGAAGTATCAGTGGCAAATAGATGTAGTCAAGAGAAAATGAGCAGGTGGTGATTGATTTGACTTGAGGATTGGAAGTGAAGGCTGAGAGAAGAGTCAAAGATGACACCCAGGTTTGTAGGTGATAGGCTGTTTAGGAAGAGAGAGTACAGATTTCCCCTGCTATCCGAAAGTAGAATGTTCCTGTGAAACCTTTCATAAGCTGAAATGGTATAAAGTGAAGAAGCTGTTACCATGAATTTATGTGGGAAAAATTTTTGAGCATTCCCAGGCCCAAAAAATAACCTACCAAATCATACCAAATAACACATAAAACCTAAAATAACACTAACATATATTAAAAGCAGGAATGATATGATAAATATACAGCCTATATAAAGTAGAAATAATGTATGTACACTTACCAGAATCAGGAAGACAGCACAGATGCTCAACCAGCACAGTTCAAAGCTGTGGTGGCTTGATGCAGAGATGCTGAGTGCAGTTGCTGGGGAAGGAGCTTGGCAACACCACTCTTGCTTCTCAGGGCTCACGCTGCCTCTTTAACTGCTCCCTGCAAACAAACGCTGAACACTGTTTCCGCTTTTTGCCCTTTTTTCATAAAAGTGAAAATTCTCTTCGGATTTCTCTTGGTCAGCGAAAACAGGTGCTGATGTAGGCCTTTCATAAAAGTGAAGTGGCGTAACGTGAACTTACAAAAAGCAGGGGAAACCTGTACATCGAAAGGAGCAGATTCAAGGGTGAGATGATTTAGACTTTGAATTTGGGAGAAGTTTGAAATGCTGGCAGGGCATTAACATATAAATAGCGGGCTTTTGAATATACACGTTGGGAGCAAAAGAAAGAGCTTTAGTCTGCATTTCTCAGTTTGGAAATTATTGACTTCTTGATGTAAGTGAACCTAGAAAGTAGTGTGTATGGAGTGAGAAGAGGGCCTATGGAAGAACATTACCATCATTTAAAAATCTGTTGAGGGAAGAATGGAGAGAATTTTAAGCAGTGGCGGTGGTGCCAGGAATATGTGGCACAGAGAATTCAGAGTCATACTTCTAAAAGTCAAGTTACAAGTTAGGTAAGGGTGTGAAGGAAGTGTTTATTCTGCAGCTGCTGTGTAACTGACAATTGCGTGCAGCACTCTGAATTCTTTAACCTCCGATTTTATTTCCCCTTCCGTTTTTCAGGTACATAAATCTTCAGGATTCGGCTCATCAAAGGAGGAGTTTTAGAGTTATGCTTGTTGTGTATCAAACATTCAAAATAAACATGACTGCTTTCCAAAGAAGATAGAATTATTAATATGGAGATTATGCAGCATACTCTGTTATTTGGATTTTTTTTTTTTTTTTTAACTTCATAGTTAAAGAAGTCACCAATTACAAGTCTCTAAACTTTTCTGGGTCTCATATTCCTTATCTGTGAAGTAAGGAGTTCAGATGAGATGATTTTCTGTATGATTTTTGACGTATAATAAATGGAGATAATACAAGCTAAAATATCATTTGAGCCAGTCTTCATATTTGTAATGGCAGACATTTTCCTCGGCTGCTAACTAAAATGTCAGCAGTTTGAATCAACCAGCCGCTCCCTGGAAACCCTATGAGACAGTTGTACTCTGTGCTGTAGGGTCACTATGAGTCAGAATCGACTCCACGGCAGCACGTTTGGTTTGGATTTTATGATAGAAATTAAGATCCAATAAAAACACCTGATTTTTCTTTTTCCTTTTTTAATTTTCTTTTTGACACTTGTTCAAAACCAGCTGCTTAGAAAAAATCTTTTGATGGGTATGTAGCAGTAGTTTGTAACCACTAGGGGTCAGGCTCTTCATAAACAGTTGATGCCCTCTAGAAGTTATTTGTGAACACTATTTTGGATCTAGGATTGTTGGCTTTTATTTTGACTCTTCTGTCTCGCCATCTCCAGACAGATGTGCTCTAAGGTATATATGTATTTCAATTGAATTAAGTAAAAATTTTAGAATTTTATTGGCTTTCTGAAGCCTTGCATAATTGGAGTGGATAATCATTGGTACGTAGAGGGTCCGGTATGAGCACGATAGTATCTTTGTTTCCCCCATGTCGTTTTATAATCAAAATTAAAAATAACTGAAGTGTAAGAATATATGTGTCTTGTACCTCTTAATAGATAATGGAAGGGTTCAATCCTTATTTTTCACAAATATGTAGATTTCTTAAGTTTTTCTCAGATTACTTCCAAATAAGGAGCCCTGGTGGTACATTGGTTAAGTGCTCAGCTGCTGACTGAAAGGTTGGCAGTTCAAACCCACCAGCCACTCCATGGGAAGAAATAGGTGGCATTCTGTGCCCGTAAAGATTACAGCCTTGAAAATGCTATGGGACAGTTCTGCTCTGTCCTATAGGGTTGCTATGAGTTGAAATTGACTTGGCAGCAGTGAGTTTGGTTTTGGTCTTTTGGTACTTCCAAATTTTTTTTTAAAAGGCCCTCTTTCTATAGTAATCTGTTAGAGTTGAATAATGGTTTTGGAATAAGGGGGAGATACTGTGAGTTAAATAACAATAAATGAATGAGTCACAGGAAACTTTATATCAGGGGAATCCAGTTTTTTCCCCTTCTTTTAATTGGTATAAGAGTTAGAATAACTTCATATAGAAGAGGTAAATAGATAATGTTGTTGTTGTTATGTGCCATTGAGTCGGTTCTGACTCATAGTGACCCTATAGGACAGAATAGAACTGGCCCCGTAGGGTTTCCAAGGAGTGGCTGGTGAATTTGAACTGCTGACTTTTTGCTTAGCAGCCAGGTTCTTAACCATTGCGCCATCAGGGCGTAATTTATATTCCTTTTGGGATTTAGTTTTGAATGATAATCTTTTCCATGAGATTTTTAAAAATTGTACATAGACTTATGTTCACATTAATAAAACTATTAATAACAATATCTTTGCATTTCAAAAGAATTTTAGAAAAAAGTTGTTTCTCTTCTTTAAAAAACAAGTTTCCTTAAGTACTTCAATTTTTTTATTTATTTATCAAAATCTGTTGTGAAAATATTTTTTAAATTTGTGTGAGAGTATAGAATTTGGGTATATGATCCAGAATAATGGCAAACCTCATTTATTAGTTAAATTGGCATTTTACATTAAATGCTTTGTGAAGATATCCTATTATGTAAAGTGACAGCCTTAGTTAAAGACAACTTTCACTTTCTTTGAAAGCATTATTTATTGCTTACCCATATTTTTGACCTAGGACAGAAAGCAGATAATTTCATTGTACTGTTTTTCTCTAGTCACAAATAGGCATGCTGCTTTTCTTTCCCTCTTTTACTTTCTTAGAACCATGCAGCATTATAGTCTCTCCTGATTATGAAGTAATTCCATTAATTCACATTGTCTGTTAAAAAGCTGGTCCAGATACTTGTCATCTTCATTCAGGGGAACAGAGTACCATATTTTTTCATAAATAACGTGCCTGTGTACATATAACATGGGGAAATAATGAAATTAAGTAAAACAGTTCTGGCATAACACATGCATTATTTGCTTAAAAATATAGTAGGTACAGTAATACTTTTGAATTCCTAGGGGAAAAATTTGACACTCCTCAGCAGGTAACTTACATTCTGTCCCCAGTTGGTATCCTTAGTATTTCTCCTTTCAAAAACATTTAATTCCTAATTAAGCCTTATACTTTGCAACATAAATACAATCTGTTAAAGCAGTATTGCACTTACTTGGTAACTTTTTTTTAATAATATGGACAATTTCGGGCCATTTGTTTAATTCCTAGTAGATATAAAACAGATATTTATTCAGTGGCTTCTATTGCAAGTTATTGTGTTGTGTCTTAGGGGTATAACAATGAGTAAAAATTAACTCTTACTTTCAAGGTACTAAAAGTATGCTGAGGATAATAAGACATGTAGACAAACTCTACAGAAAGAAACACAATATATATATATATGCCGTAAAAGATGTACAGCATATTGTTAAGTGCTTACAAGAGGGAGAGCCACAGCTAGTTCAGGCACAAAAGAAAGCAGGGTAATATTTGAGGTAGATCTGGAAGGATGAGTGGGATTTCAACAGGGTGAAATCAAGGTGAGTACTAGAGTTGTAAATGTAGGGTTTCAGAGGGGAATCTGACCCAGATCTATAGGCAGGAGGGTTCATAGAGGGTTTCTAGGAAATGTTATATTTTAATTAAAAATATTGAGCTTAGAGACCCACACACAACACACAAATGAATGTTTAAATATGTATATGTATATATATATAATTCATTTATTTTTATTTTCCCAGCTTTATAAAGTAAAAGTAATTTTGGTGGATAGAGATCTTATATTAATAAAAGCATGGTTTCTTGAAATGCTATTCTGTAAACTTTAATGGGAACATATGTTTGGATTATTTTGTTTAAACAAAGTGCCATGTTTCTTTACTTTCCACAGTATACAATTAAAAAAAAATATTGTGTTTTAGATGAAAGTTTACGTAGCAAATTCGCTTCCCATTAACAATTTTTATACAGATTGTTCCATGACATTGGTTACATTTTTCACAATGTGTCAACATTCTCATTATTTCCATTCTGTTTGTTCTGTTTCCATTAATCTAGCTTCCCTGCCCCTCCTTAGCTTCTCATCTTTGTTTTAGAGTAAATGTTGACCCTTTGGTCTCATATATTTGATTATTTAAGGGAGCATGGTATTCATGAGTGATATTGTTTATTTTATAAGTCAGTCTATTATTTGAATGAAAGATGACCACCAGGAGTGGCTTCATTTCCAAGTTAAAGGGTATCTGAGGGTGATAGTCTCAGGGGTTCCTCTAGTCTTTACCAGTCCAGTAAGTCTGGCTGCTTTTAGGAATTTGAGATTTGTTCTACATTTTTCTCCCTTTCTATCCAGGACAGTCTATTGTGTCTCTGGTCAGAATGATTGGTAGTGGTAACCAGGCACCATCTAGTTCTGGTCTCAGGGTAGCTGAGGCCGTGGTTCATGTGGGCTGTTAGTCCTGTGGACTAGTTTCTTCTTTGA